CACACACACACACACACGCAGTCACGGGCGTAGAGTGCCTCCGGGACCCGGGCTTGACCGGGGAGGCCCCCTTCCGCCGGGGCAAGTGTTGTGACTTCGGCATGTGCCGCGGGCGTTGGACCGCGGCCAAACAATTGACCGCCGGCCCCCCCGTCCCCCGCCACGGGAAGAAGAGGAACGCGCGAGTAACGGCAGCACGTCCGGCCGGCCGGGACTTGAGGAGTGTGCTGGGCCTCGAGTTCCTGGGACCCTGGGGCGTTCGGCCGGGCGGGCGCGCCCTTGTCAGGAACCGGCCGCCCCTCTGGTCTCCCGGCTGGGGACGAATCACCGAGCGGGATTATTCCCGGCACACCAATCACCGCGCTCGAAATGCCAGCCAGGGCCCATTGCCGCGAGGCCATGCCCCCCCCGGCCGGCCCCTTTTTCCCTTCTGTCGCCCTCGCCGGGCCGGGCCGCGGGCGCCGGAAGCGCGGCCGTCACCACCGCCGCCGGCTCCTCCAACGCAGCACCGAGGCCCTGGCCGGTGGTGCTGGGCGAAAAAGTAAACAAAGACGGTCCCCACCACAGCCAGGGGACGGAGGGCGACCAAACGCCGGGGGGGGGGGGGGGGCGGCATATGTCCCGGGGGAAGTTCTCCGTACTAGACACGCCGCCGACGAGGCATGTCTCCCTCCGGTCCAGGCGCATTCCTGGCCCGGACAGGAGCCCCCTCGGGCATTCCCCCACCTCCTCCCCGGGGCGGGGGCCACGACCGGCCATTGGCCCGTCCGCGACATATGACGCCCCCCGCAGGCACACCCAAGCGGCAAGGCCGCAGGCGGCCTCCGTCCCCCCGTACCGCCACACACACAGACACACACACACACACATGCTTACCGCACACGCCGCGTTGATGCTCCCCGCGGCCTCGGGGTATGTTCGAGGCCCGAGATACCCGGGCACAAAGGAGCCACACACCCTGAGACACCGTCCTGGGGTGAGTAGCGGGCGCTGCCCTCCTGGACCTGCGGATCCCGAGGCACAGCAACAACAATAATAATAACGACAGCGCCAGGGGGAGAGTGCAACATGAGGGGAAAGGGGGGGCGGCTTGAGGGGGGCACATTACACAAGAGCCTCCCCCTTCCCGAGCCCCGGGCGTTGGACACTTTCCCCCTTCCACGCACTCCCCCGCACGCTCCCACTCGCACTGGCCGCCCCCAACGCCCCCGGGCCGATTGCATGTGATCACCTCGTGATCCTGGCACCACATCGCATGATGTCCCGGCCGGGCTCCACTTCGATCGCCGGGGACATCTCTCGCCTCCGGTCCACCGCCCCGGCGCGGCCACCTCCTCCCCAGCAGTCGGCCGCAACCTCGCGATCTCCCCCGCCGCCGCCGCCGCCGCCGCCGCCGCCGCCGGCAGCCCCCTCAGTGGCGCCTTCTGCTGGTCAGGAGCGACGAGGCGCGCGGTCTCGTCGCTTGCGTCGCGGCCGCCGGCCTGGCGCCCCCCTCGTCCCCGAAGTGCTGGCTCACAACCAGCCCAAAGTGCCTGTCGCCCGACCGGCGACGCCCTCGGCCGATGTGGCGGACGCCTTCTTCCAGCAGATGCTCTATTTCCCCGGTCTCCTGACGGACGACCCGGTGTCCGGGCTGGAGACAGTGCATCGGCTGCTGGCCGGCCGGTTGACGGAGGTCTCACCCGGGGAGGGCATCCAGGTGGCCGACCTCCGGCATTATCACCGGCGCATGGCGGCCCCTCATGTGGGGTACTGGCGTCTGGCCCGTGCTACCAACGCCCCCCTTCGCCAGGTGCTGGCCGTTCGGTACGCCTGGACGCGCATCTCCACCCACCCCCGTGGCGGGCCCCAGCCATGCCGCCTTGCGCTCCCCTTGGATTGCTCTAACCCACTTGCATGACCCGCACACACACACACACACACACACACACACACACACAGGGCTGCATGGGATGTCTTTGCTCAACGGCGTCGGCGAGGCCGCCTCCTGGGTCCCGGGCCGCCAGCCCGTCTCCTTGCCACAGCCCCCAACCAGCCACCCCCGGTTCTGCTTGCACCGTCTCGGCCGCCAGTTCGCCGACCGCTGCCGCTCGACGAGCGTACCCTCTCTGGCCGCTGGGGCCTCCAGCCACCGGACCATTGGGCTCAGTGGCCGCGGCTGGCCGCCAGTCGACCGCAGTTGGACGACACCGGCCGCCAGTAGCGGCGACGCAGCATCATACGCACAAATGCACACATGCCCAAGAAAGGGAGAAAGGCAGAGAAGAAAGAGGAAAGGGGGAGACACGGGCGGGTACAAGAGTCGGTATTGAGGAAACAAGGTCAAGAAAAAGGGCCACCCAGTCCTGGGGGGGGGGAGGGAGGGAGGGAGGAACGAGCAATGGCGTGCGCACAACAGCGCTCACCGCCGCTCCGAGCGACCCCGGGGATGTTGATCGTGGGGGCGCGCGTATGTATGGGTGGGTGTGGAAGGGTGGGGGAATGGAGGGATGGGGAGGGGGGAGTATGCGTCCCATGGGGTAGTCCCGTTTGGTGTTGCCTCTTCTGCATCATCCCCCCCCCCCTCTCTCCCCCCGGTGCGGGGAACACGCTGCTGAGGATCTCGCCACGGAGAGCTGTACATGCACACGGGCACGCGTGCAGGGAAGAGGGAGGGTGGGAGAAAGCGCGAGGCGGGGAGGGGGGAGCGGAGGGGGAGGGGGGGGGGGAAGATGTGGGAGCGGAGGTACACACAAGGGCGGCAGACGAGGCCGGGCGCGCCAGCATGTGCATCTGTATGTTTTGTGTGCGAGTCCACACTCCCGCGCAGGAAGGGGCGCAGAAGCCATTCCGGAACTGACGAGAGTGGTCCGCGCGCCAGGAGGACAGAAAGGGGAGAGAGAGAGAGAGAGAGACATCAAGAAGAAGGGGAGAGAGGGGGAGAGAGGGGGAGCAGGAGGAGGGGGAGAAAGGCCAGCTCACTTCTGGTAGGCAGCCTTGTCATAACCGGCAACAGCCGGCGCCCCAGAGGTCGAGGGCGGCGGGGCACCGATGTACAGAGCCCGCAGGCCGGCGGCCAGCTCCTCGAAGGAGTAGGTCACCACCGGGGCCGGGTGGTGGTGGTGGGCATGGTGATGCGCCGCAGCGGCAACATCGCCGGCACTCGGGGAGCTGGTGGTGCTGCTGGAGGAGGACGACCCGGCCGACAGGGGAGACCCACCGCCAGTGGCCCGGGACATGGCCGACTGCTTCGGCGAGTCGGCCTGCTCGGCCGTCGAGGAGGAGACGCCCCCGGTGGCGGCGGAGGCGGCGGCGGCGAGGGTGGCGCTGGCCACGGTCTCCGACGAGGAGGACGAGGAGGAGGCCGACGCGGCGGCGCTGGCATCGGACGAGGCGGCGCTGCTCGAGGAGGCGGCCGCCTGCTGGGCAGCCAGCACCATGGGCGGCGGCCCGGGCCGGGCATTCCGAAGCCACGGGTGGTTCCACGCCTCGGCGATGGACATGCGATCGCTCGGGTTCCAAGTGAGGCAACGCGTGACGAAGTCGATCAGGGCCGGGTCCTGCTTGGCAAGGACCACGGCCAGGGGATTGGCCGGCGGCATGGTGCCACTCGGCGGGACGTAGTACGGGGCGGTCGAGTGGTTGGGGATGCCGGAGGCGGCGGCCTCGGCATCGGCCGCGGCCTTGGCGGCAATCTGCGCAGTGGCATTGGCGCCCTGCTTCAGGGGGAGGAACTCCGCATCGAAGAAGGTCTTCCGGCGAGTGGCGATGGCCATGACCGAAGCCGGGGGGAGGCCCAGGGCACTGACTATCCGGATGATCAGGTCGTGCTCATTCTCGGCCGGGAAGAGGGGCTGGCCCAGGGCCAGCTCGGCCACAATGCAGCCGAGCGACCACATGTCGATGGCCATGGTGTAGGACAGGCCAACGACCACCTCGGGCGAGCGGTAGAAGCGGCTCTGGATGTAGGTATGGACTGCGTGCGTGCGTGCGTGCGTGCGTGCGTGCGTGTATGTGTGTGTGTGTGTGTATGCATTCCATGCG